CCATGCGGACGCCCATGACTGCTTTCAGGGTAGTTTTTAAATTGAGTATTTTGCCTAAAATGAAGATAATTAAGATAATTAATCTTCTTTCCCGATATAGTATATCACAATCTTTCTCTTTCTTTTAGACAATCATGAGAACGTCGCAGAAAATTAGGGATTGCTGCAAAAAAGAAGCTTCATACTTTGTACAATAATTCGTTCGAATAGTTCTCTTAGTATTGACAAAGCTGGATTGCGAGACAAATCGACGGATACTATCAAATACGTTGCTAATATTGCGAATACATTTAACACGTCTAGCATACGGTGTGCTATCTGCAAAAACGGGAAGACACATTGCACGTTCTATTATATTCTAGTATATGTGAATAATGTGTAGTCAGCGTAGAATTTGATTAAACGGTCGACTTGGTGTTTGATTGCATAAGAGCAACGATTATAATTACGTATTACGAATAGATTCCGCGTCCTCGCATCTGTATTCATGTTATTTTTACTTAATCGAATGGATTATCGGTCAAGAGCCAATGAACTGTCAGCAAAATGGAGTTTTTCCATCCGCCATGCATGACTGAGAAAATATTGTTAAATTCTTTTAGAAAGCGCTATGAAAATTTGAATTTTCAGACATTTCGGATCTGTCGTAAATATAAAATAAAATAAAATATGATCAGCATAACTATACTGCGCCATAAGTTTAAACGCGTAATTTCTACCACAAAATGATTTAGCAGAAACAAAATTCACCGATTCTCACACAACTTTGCAAATGTATATTAAATTTGTTTTTTCGATAATATATAGTACTTTCTCTTCGATAATCTACTCTCTCTCTCTAATACATAGAGCAAATATATAAAATATAAAATATCAAAATAGTTTAACATTCTGTGAATAATTATACATTTTACTCTGATGATTCTTTACAATTCAATTTACATCTTGCTTAAAAGGTGCAAAGTAAGGACGTTAATTTGCAAGATCTCGGCGACAGAAATTTGTAAAAAAAAGTGCCATACTATATTTATATTTTTACAATAAATGTGCCTCATGCCCAAATACTGCTCGAAAAGCACTTGTATATTATTATTTTAAAAGCTAATTGAATGCTATTTGCTTGCGTTATCAGAGTATAATTGAATGCATAATTAATTTGATGCGCAATTAAATCTTTCTAACAAATGGATATTAGAATGAAATATTAAATTTCAGTATTGATCCTGCAAAAAAAAATACAAATAGAATATAGCGGCGCTATATATTGTAAATACAGCGAAAAAATATCCTTCACTAATAAATGAGTTGTGAATATAACTCACAATAGTATTAGTTAAATTTCAAATAAAAAAGAGGAATGTTTTCAACGTTGTTAATCAATAAGCATCGATTTGTAGATCGATTATGAACAACAAATATTTAGAAATATTCGAATATTACATTCAAATTTACACAAGCAAATAAAATTTCGTTAAATTAAATTAAACGACATTGAAAATCAATCGAGTCCAAAAATTATATAACACGTGAATATAAAACATTTTTCGTGTCTAAGTCCTATGTATTCTTTCTCTTCGGGATATAATCATGAAATTCTATTGTAAAACGAAAGAAATGCATTTCTCCCAGTCTTAAGACTGATCACATGGAAGCTATTCCGCTCGTCGTTTCACAGATATATGCATATACGATCATAACGTCATCGTCAACGTGAAAATTATATGGATATAAAGGAGTTGTTATACAAACAGATTTGCGTATTGTGCTCTCTGATGCATAGTTGCATATGTGACTGATTTGTGGAGAAGGCTACTCGAACGATGAAAACTGCGATTTGGATTCTTTGATCAAATCAGATGAAAGAAATTTGCTCCATATAGAAGCCATATCGCTGTTTAGTTTGAGTGGCCCTTCTTGTCGCACATATCACAATGGCGCTTCATCCGAGCATTAACTCGATGACAATCCGCATTGTGGATCTGTGGTGGAATACTTTTGTAAAACGAAATAACGTAAATCAATTATAAATTACCATCACGTGCAAATCAAGCTGTTAACGTATCATTGTTATTGTAGTCGCATTAACGTCGCGTAGAAAGCAAAACGATTTGGGTATAACAAACGCGCAGACGAATATCTTCGAGATAAACGACATCGTGCAACCGATATCGTCGTCGCACAAAAATTGGCCGTGTTTCATATTTACAATCGCCCAAAATTAGAGACACTGATGAACACAATGTCTTAATAAAAATAACACCCCTCTGAGGTGATCTCATGCCCAATGAAATGAAGCTCGATAGTAGTATGAGTTGAGTATACACGTTTCCAAGAATGCGACTTTGGTAGAGAGAATTTTGTACTGTGTATACGTAAATACACGATATTGTACCATCTCTATGGGAAATCCGTTTTTACGGAATTCTTCAAAAATGCTTTTATGTCGATATACATTAATTATTTACTTTCCTTCCTAATTATTTACTATCCTTATATCGTTGTCATTTTTTAAAATGATCTATTGATTTCGAATATACGACATCGCACTTCTAACAGATCGGATTAAATTTTTTTTTTTCATAAGTCTTTTTTTTTTCTTGGGGTACTAGGAACTCCGCTAGAAACAGTGGAAAGCAAAAGATTTTTAAATTGTAGAATTTTTGAAGTAGAATTGAATAGAAATATATATCGTATTTCTTATTCAATTTTCAATTTCATATTTCCTATGTGCAAAATTATAGAATAGTTAATGTCAAGAGAAGAAGCCATAAAAAAAATGACATGTCTCCATAAGATTTTCGTCGAGAAAATTCTTTCGTCGGAAAATTTAATTCAGTAAAAGCAAGACAATCCGCATACTGAATTACACATATAATCTCGATTAACGTTACACATATAGATTCTGTGAAAATTCGATTATACGAAAATCTCGTACAGCAAAGACATGTCTATCTCATTAAATCGTATTTGGATGTCCCATCCGGATAGCGCTTTAACCTTCGAAAACTACGCGATCTTTTGTGTAAGAATATAAATATCGTCTCGTCTAGTAATCTTGTAATCATTAAAAATACAAACACGTTGAAATCTTATTATATACTATTACGATTGAACAATTCTCGAAGGCTAAAAGCTATTAAATGTAATTCAATTTCTAAAAAGATAAAATCGGAAATGTGTAATCTGTACAAGAAATTCATTACCTTCTCATGTTTAAAAACGATGCAACCGATTCTCTTGCAGTAAGGCGGTATGCTAGCTAATTTTACTATATGTTAAAACGTCAGAAAAACACAGAGAACATTTTCTATATCACGCTCCTGCAAAGTTATGTATCTACTGCCAAAAAATATTTAAAATAAAGTCAAAATTTCGAGAATAGATCGTCCTGTTTATTTTCATTTGCTGTGCATCGTTGTAGAGATAATGGAAAGATGAAAATTTGAAGAAAAATATCACATTGTTGCATTATCAACTTTAACACGTCAACGCGGCTGATTATTTTGGACCACTTGATACGGCTTTTATTACTTTCACAGCTCCTAAGACAACACGCTATTCCCGAAATTTCATTTTAAGTTCTATCTTTTCGTAGACCTACGTAGAGCGTAGTTTATATGTATATAGTTAATTAAACTAGTAAATCGCCTTTATTCTTAACACTCTTCGAAGCGAAGACTATTATTAGCTTCATTTGATCAGGCATAAGGATAATTTTCTGTGCATATTCTCTTTTAACTCTGTCTTCTCATTAAATTCGCTGTTCCTCCCTATTAAATCTTTACTTGTGTCTACTGAAAGTATTGCCTAGCCCTAAGACTTTTGTTTAAAAAAAATTACCGTAAGTAATTACCAGTCTATACGATACTATCGACTACACGGAGAGACAGCGACTAAATTGCAGCGACTAAATCGCAGCGTTTAAATTGCACGCTGGTTGTGCCGGTTGTGCACGTACGTTCGCGGTGAGATAATTAATTGTAAAATTTTCACCTTCACATACTTTTAATCTCACCGTTCTCGTAGTCGTTTCACATTACATGCAGTTCGATCACATAATTCAATCATCGCGTGCTCGCTGTTTTAGGATCAATGCTTAATAGCTGGCCTCGTGTCCTGCCAGAATGTATAAATCCGCCCCTTCCGATTCAGTCAACGTGCCACTGTGAACTAAATGACTCTCCAACATCACAACCCTGTTCAAAATGTTAATGGTTAATTGTTTTCTCTTTATGTACTTCTCCTACCTAACTCCTCTATCAAAATATGAATAAAATATTACATATAAAACTTAATATACGATGTATATCTGAGAAATTATTATTGACAAAGTGCTACTTCAGAATTGTAATGTATATAATTGTATGTAAACACATATGTACCAATGTCAAATTTAGAAATATAAATATTCTCAAAGTTTTTCTATATATTCATTTATAAATTTACTTTTAATAAACAAGATTTGAAAAAAAAAGCAAATCTCATTATTAATTCTTTTTAAGATACCCTTCAAAATGTCTATTAGATTAACATGCAATCGTCGCATTTATTTCGTTAGATACGTACTTATCTGAGCCAAGTAGCCTGTAAGTTCTACTTGGATCACTAATCTCTTGTGTAACTTCGCCATTCTTGAAACTTCTACCTTGCATACCGTGTTTATGGAATGCCAATACACTATCAGGTAGGCAAACTGGAAATATAAACAATACGATATTTTATTTACAAGGATTACAGCGTAGATTAATAAATGGATGAAATATGTTATGCTTACTGATAGATTCAATTTGAAAATTAAACTGCAGTTCTGACAACTGCTTCTTGCTAATGCGGGGTTTTCCCTGTAAAGTTACCATCTTCACCACATCTGTGAATACAAAAATGTTCAATTTAATAACGTGTATCGCCGTATGTAAGACACTCTTATATAATATCTATTAATAATACTCACTATCGTAACAAACGAGTATTGCATCTTTCTCAAATTGCGTAACGTTAATAACGTTCAAATTCTCCCGTCTTGGTATCACAGTTGCTGAAACAATATTTTTGTTATAAAAGAGATAACGTATTTTCTGAATTATAAAGATCAAATTTTCAAATGTTTCGAAGACAAAGATAAAAATTGTAAACATGTATACTGTTATTGTCGTACATATACAATATAAAGATACCTGAGCCGTCCATATCTTCCAGTTCGTCACTATGAAACCAACTCGCTCCCGAATTCATATTAATTAAGTCCAGCTTTAATTTGTTTTGCTGATATGGCTGTTTAACCGATACGCATACCATCGGGTATTCCATTTCAGGCGTGATAACCATTTTAAAGACATTTAGAGGCGACGGTAGAACGCAGTCGAAATGTTTTAAAAGCATAAATTTATTCAATGGATCGTACCACTGCATTAGGAATATACCTGCCGGCATCGCACCGCACAGATACTTGTACCTATGTTAAAAAATTTGCTATTGTTTCTCAAATTGTACTTAACACAAATGTGAAAATACGATAAATATTTCATATTATTTACGCAAAAAATCATTAATGTTTACATATTCAATTTCTTTACAATTTACTTTCGTTGAAGAATAATGTGCATATTTTTTTTAGTTTTTTTTGTTGAGAGAAAATGTTTTCACTCACCCATTATACGGATTTCTCCCAACGCAACATTTGGTACATCCCTTTGTGTCTGGTACTTTTGTAGTAAGAGCGAACTTTCTAGGGACTAATCTCTCTGGTATTTTATTCATATGCAATGAAAATCTATGAGTCTGTTTACTTAGCATCGCTAGCAAATCATGCCTATACAACTGAGGCGTTTTTCCTGTTAAGACATATTGCTCGTAATATTTAAAAGATACAAATCAGTCTGTCATGCAGCAACCTTAGTACAATCAAGATTTGCTTACCGGAAAGAGACATAAGAACATCTTTAATAACAAACATCCAGATGGTACGTCTGGGGTATAGCTGATCTATTGCAGTTTCATGAAGTTCGTTCAAGTTTAAATTATAAATTCCTTCCTCTGCTGCGATCAGTAGATGCTGATCCCTTGTGTCTGGATGAATCCAACTTGCGGTACAGTGTATTCTCAGTGGACAGCCATTGAATACCTATTAATGATTACAACAAAAGTGATAAATATCTCATCAATAGCTATCGAAAAATACGTAAAAATATTTTCGCAATATATAGTATTTTCTGTAAAATAATTAAAGCAAGTAAAGTACGTAATAAATAATCGAAGAATAATCTATGATATAACAATCCAAAAAAAAAAAAAAACAATTTATATGTACACTCGTGGACAGAATTGTTGCGACACTTTTTTTTAAATTTGATTTCTAAACGCATTAATAATTTGCAAATGCGAACCACAATTGATGTAGTGTCTCTAAACTAAAAATAGTACACCAATCGTGATTTGCATTTGCAAAATATTAATACGTTCCAAAACCAAATAAAAAAAAAGTGTCGCAACAATTCTGTCCACGAGTG